CAACGTTGGTTATCGCAGCAGTGGTCCAGTGGATGATGAATGCACGAACAAAGGAATGGTCAACAGACGGAGGGGAACGCACAGAAGATGCAATGAATCACACAACGCTGCCGTCGCTTAGATGCCGTGCTGGTCGTCGATGCTGAGTCGCGGAGCAACCGTGTTGTAGACGTCCTCGTCCGTCGTTCATCCCCAAGGCTGTGTAGCTGTTTTGCCGTCCTGGCCGTCGCAACCAATGGCAACTCGAGCTGAGCCTGCTGGCTGAACGTTCTGTTAGAAATCGAAAATCGACGTTTCGCTACAGCAGTCATCACCGGAGAGGGAAGAGAAGCGGTCAATGAACAGACTGCAGACTGACACAACGCCAAGCAATTTTGCCCGCTTGATCGATACATTTTTTAACAAATGGACCGAATCGATTTGCTTGCTTGTTAAATCTAGTTTCAAAGTTACCGCAGAATTCGGGGGAATAAGCTATCATGAAATTTGGTCCATTGGCAAACACAGGCAGTGTCGATCGCTGTGTAACCTTTCGAGACGAGGGCGTCTTTCTAACGTTCGTTATTCTGTGCCAACCCCCAAGCATTGGCCGAAGAATTCCTGAGTCTAGAGCAAAAATAAATGTGGACTTTTCTCAGATTACTCTTGACCGCCACCGGGGTCTTCGTCTGGTCGGCAGAGTAGGCACTAGTTGTTTCGCCTTCCAGTATGGAAGCATTCGCAAAACGTGCATGAACCATCGCAGCTGCGACGTCTGAATCGGAAGAAGCAGCAGCTCTACAGCAAGGCTTTCTCGGATATCAAATGCCCAGTCTCCATCGTGATGCTTGGTTCTAGGGATCAGTTCCAGGCATCGAAGTTTTTCAGTCATGGCTCACGACTGTTTCGATGACGACTATCCAAAGCATTACTTATCCTGATAAGTAGCAGAAGTAGATGTGTCTGACAGTTCTTCTAACATTCCCGATCCGGTGCCAGGGTTTGGATTTCGGCAGACAAAAATTAGAGTCAGAAGCAAAGTCCATTCATGCGCCCTCCCAAGTTATTCTTTGCCGTACTACAGGTCTTCGGCTGGTCGGTTGGGCAAGTAGTAGTTGTTTTGCCTTCCTTTCTAGAAGCATTCACAAGACGTGCCCAAACCATTACAGTTCTGACTTCTGAATCTGAGGCAGCTGTTGTACA